AATAATAATAATAATAATAATAATAATAATAATAATAATAATAATAATAATAATAATAATAATAATAATAATAATGCTATGTTATTTAGATTATTGACAATAATAATCTACTATTATTTAGGATTTCATCCTTGGTATGTTCATTTACTATCATTAGAAAATAACATACCTAACAATCAAGAACACTATAAATCAATAATTAATTATAAATCAGAAAACAAAGATGACAATAGTTCATCATTATATGATGAATTTATTAAAGAATTGCCAAACCCAATAGCATTCAATATTTGGTATGACAAACTTGAATCTTTAATAATAAAATACAATGAGAATTGTTTAATTGGAGAAGTTGGAATTGATAGATCATTTAAATTAAAAAATCCAAATAATAATAAGAAATTATCAAATTATCAAATATCGATTGATCATCAAATATTAATATTAGAGAAACAAATTGAATTAGCAATTAGATATGGTAAAAGCATTAGTTTACATTGTGTACAATCAAGTGGAAAAATTGTTGAAATTTTAAAAAAGTTACAACAAAAAAATACTCAACAAATTGACAGTATTAATAATGATTTACAGTTGAAAATATGCTTTCATTCATTCTGTGGATCAATTGATACAATAAAACTTTTATTATCTTTAAACAACAGTCCTAAAAAGAATAAAAAGAGTAAATTATTATCGATAGAATGTTATTTTAGTTTTAGTAAGGTTATAAATGAAAGATTGTCAAATAGATTGCACGATCTGATAAAATTTGTGCCAGAGGATAGATTATTAGTTGAATCCGATTTCCATTCACCAGTAGGTTTAGATTATTTAATGCAAGACATTATTCAACTAATTAGCAAAGTAAAAGATTGGTCATGTGATTTTACAATTAATAAATTAAAAGATAACTTTCTAAATTTTATTAATAACTATAACAATAAAGATAAAGAATGTAATGTAAAATGATTAATAAAATGATCAAGATTTTTTTATTCTAGACGCTAATCTATTAAAAGTTTTACAAAATATAGCGAAAGAAAAGTTGACATTTGTATCATTTGAGGAAGAGATTCTGGAAGTCAATCTCACAAAAGCTTGTTTATAATATATAGGACAATTCCTCCAAGTTATAGAAGCGACTAAAGCAATTTCTTTCATAAATTGAGAACGAAGTTCTTTGTAATTGTGATCATGTTCAATTTTATTTTGTAAAGTTAATAAGAACAAATAGAATGCGTTGTCAGAGTTTATGTGTTCTTGCTCCTTATACTTCTTTACTAATTTCTTTATGAATCTTTCAGTAGGCACTTTTATGGGTATTTCATCACCATTTGAAAATGTTGCATTGACAGTGTTTGGTGTTATTTCACTTTCAGATTCAGTGAATGGGAAGACAGAGCTTTCTGATCTTTCTCTTAGGTTTAACTTGGAAAATAATTTTAAGACTTTGTGAGGTTTGTTATGAATAGGGTTATGAAATTTTTTATATAAGTCGCCAAAATAATGACGTTGATGGTGTTTATGACATCTATACATTTTTATATAGTTTAAAATTTATATAATAATAATATTTATAGCTCTTATATCGCATTATTTTTTTTTTTTATCAAAATACGAAAGAGTGTATATGCAATAGATGACAATTTCTTTTTTTTTTTTTTTTAATAAAAAAAAATTTAAAGAAATTTCATTTATTTTAACAATGAAACTTTAAATATTTGCAAATTTGGAAAATTTTCTTTATTACTAATAATAACGATAATATTGGTCACATTACGACTATTACGACTGAAATTTTTTTTTCGAAAATATCTCGTGAACTTCTAGAATGCGGGACTCATTGTCATGTATTCCGCGTCACTAATAAAATTTGCAAAATTAACAAATTTAGAAATGTTTTGTCTGAAAAAAAGATATTATTATTATGCAGATGTTTTTTTTAATGAAATTATATGTTATATAAGTTTCAAATTATAATCAGAAAAATGGACGCTGTTTTCAAAATCTACCACGTCTCTAAAATTGGTGTCTGCAACTTGTTACAACGTCACGAGTGGCAACTAGTTGCAGACTCTATCTATATTACAGCTCTTATGTTCTAAATTCTGACAATTGAATTGGTTTTAAGATTGATCAAAGCTTTCAAATTTCCAAAATTGCGACAAATCAAAAAGTCTTCCTACTTTGTCTCTGGTGATTATTTTTGGAAGAATTAAAGGATCTACAAGGGTAAATAAAGTTCGACGACTAAAATGACTTGTATCATTAACATGGTACAAATTCAATGAGTTGTTTTTAATAATCAATAATTGCAATCATTTTTAAATATATTAAAGTTTTTAGTGTAACAAATATTATTCAAACCGTGGTTCAACTGGAGTTTGAATTACGGTCGATTAAACCTAAACCATTCATTGCGAGTGATGAAGCATAGTAACATGTCTCATGTCTCGTGTACAAACACAACTCTAATTGATTTAATTAGGTGGAAACATATTTACACACATCACAATTGTTATGATTTCAGTGTCTCGGGATTCATTTAAAAAAAATAGTCGTATTATTTTGGGTAAAGGATTATTACCAACTAAGGATGTTAGCCGAAATTGGTTTTAAAAAAATCAATTTCAATACACATAAAAAACTACCCAGAATTTCGGCTATTGAGTTAAATGCTCAAATAATTTCGGATATAATTTCGGCAACTTGAAAAACTATTTTGGCATTTCGGATTCAAATGATGTATACTGTAAGCATAATTATCATTGTTTAGTCAACCCGAGTATAGCAAAAGACATGCAGTAGAAATCATATAAAAAGTAATTCATTCATGGAAAAACCAGCCAAAATAATACAAAATAAATTATTAAATGGTTCTACAACCCAGATGGCCCAATGATAAAACACTAGGGCTGTTAAATGGAGCATAATGTTCTGGCATCAACCCGGGTTATGTATCACTCCATCATGGAGTGGGTTAAGATTTCTAATTTTTTGTACTAACCCGGGTTGGGTTGGGTTAACCCTTGTTCCACAATAATATGAACCCAACCCAACCCATTATGTTCCATTAACAACCCTATAAAACACACTAAGGATCCTTTACTAGATAGCACAGGCCTAACATTGCAATGATTAGGTGTAAACTCGAACATGTATTTGCATTGCATTGCACAAATATATACATATGTTCGATCAACATCCTGTGACATTTTACTGATGAAATAAAAGAATTAAAATCAAATGAATAGTAAGTGATCCTTCATTTGGATGTTATTTTTATTTGTTGAAACTCCTGGATGTGGTGCAATTGCTCTAAATTCATTCAATTATTTAAATTGTTATCAATAAACGATCATCAAAATTGCATTCCTGATCCTGATCATGCTGGTCCAAAAAAAATCCTTAGCTGACTAAATTTTTTTTTTAATATTAACAATTATTTTATTATTTATAATTAAGGCAGTTCAAATTTGATTTATTTGTTTAACATCTCCTCCCAAGATTTTTAAAATTCTAAAAATAAACAGTTATAAAACATGTTTAATAAAATATTTTGCAGAAATTTTCTCTGCTGATCATTTCAGTAATTGGAAACTTTTCATTGGCGTTTATTTATTTCTAAATTGAAAATATTCATTTAAATGAACTGATAATACTTTTATTTCTTTCATTCTTTGAAATTAATGGTTGTTCTTTTATTGGTCTTATTATTACCTGTATCAGTGAACAACTGCTCTTAAGGAACAAATATGGCAGTAATAACCAAGTATTTCTGGAAATTGATGATATTGATACTCTTCCACATAGAAATTATTATTATTTTACATTTTAAGTGATAAGTTTTTCTGTACCACAAAAAATGTTATTATTTATAGTTGGTCAGACAATAATTATTATCAGTCAACTAAATAATTGACTAAAATAGTCATTTTAAACCTTATGGTTGGATCCAGAGATCAGGAACTTCAATTTTTCACATGCATAGTTTTATAAATTTTATTAGTCAAATAAAAACAGACTATGTTGATCTATTTCAGGTCACAAATATAAATCCTGAAAAATGAAGATACTTATATTGATATCAAAATAGTTAGACTTTGACAATATGCAGATATTCTTAATAAGTTAACTAAATACAATAGACCTCCTCTAGTGATCGCATTCATGAAACTCATGAATGGGTTACACATATCAAAACAGTTAAAAATCATGCATTGATTATCTAATTTGATATGTGTAATCCCTTTAATGAATATTCATGAATCTCATGAATGCAATCACTAACCTCATCCACCCATTACTATGATGTTATTAAACAAGGAAAAAGTCCAGATAAGAAAGAAAGTTGTATCTGGCTCCTCAGTGTTATTATTAAGGCTGTATTTTTTACAGAAAAAGTATGGGATCTCCAGTGAAAGTGCACAGAAAGCACATAATTTGTACAGGATAGTTACAATACACACATGAAACACAAATAAGATTTATGGAAAACATGTGGAATTCATTTTTCCCATAAATCCTATGTGTTTCATGTGCATTCTGTATTTATCCTTATGAATTCCATGTTTTCTGTGCACTTTTACTGGAGACCTCATACATTTTCCATAAATCCCATGTGTATTCCATACATTTCTCCGTACATTTCCTGTACATTTTCTGTTAATAATTTTTTATAGGATTGCAAGCCAGTCCACAAGGAGCTTTAATGACCAATTTCCGCCCACATGTAAAATACAAACAATTATAAACCACGTGATTTAATGTGTAACAAAAAATTTCTTTTTCATAAAACCACGTGACTTTTACGTACAGAAATTTTTCTGCTGATCATTTCGGTGATTGGGTAGAGTATACGTAACACGAATCTACTATGATCTACAATGGCTAATTTTGATTTTATCCTGTTAAAAAAGTAAGCCACATATTAAAGACAAATAAAAAATAAATAAAATTATACAAATTTTATATCTTTGGCTTCTCAAGATTCTGAGTTTTAATTTAATATACAAACCATAAAAAATTATTCTATTCTTGCTAGAGTTATTACAAC